AGGACATCAGAGGTGCAGAATCTTCCTCATGCGCCCCCGCGCGAGGGGGAAATTTTCGAAAAACTCAAATAATAGGGAAATTTTGGAAAAACCCGCTGGCCAAAAAAAATACAGTGGGGAAATTTTTCAAAAAACTTCTTTGCGTGGGGGGAAATTTTTGGATTTTTGGAAGATTCTGCAACTCTGAAGGACATATTGATCATCAGATAACTACTATGTATGTATGAACATAAATATCAATAATTATTGGCGAATTTGAAAAATTGAGCAAATTTTTTGATCCAGTTTAATATGGATATATGAGAGCGATTCCACTTTAATGAGAAATAAATAAATACACGCCGAAGATAAACAATAAATTCTTCCATGGAACAGCATGTCCACTACAAAATGGTAGAGATTTGCACGCCAATCTAGAATCACTTTGGTGACAGCTTTCATAAAAAAGACCTTATTGCAATGGCATGCAGAGTTTAGCAAAATTATAACCATCTTGGAGGTACATGCCGATAACACCGTGACATGTACATGTGAGACATATATTTTGCATAAAAACGCAAGAATGCTACATATAATTATTTGTAAGGATAAGAACCATGCACACTCTTGCATGTTTTGCTTAACAAATTGAAAAATTACACTAACATTCATGTGTTTGCGATATGCACATCTACATATTTGCTATTGTTTGGTATTTATACGAAACATTTGCAAATACTTGAAATTGTTTTTACCTTCATGCATGAAACACCACAATATGGAAAATATTTTCCAAATAAACACAAATTTATGAAAATTTCCTGCAAACACATGCATATTTTAAGCTTTCGCGTTTGACTAGTTGATTTTAAATGAAACAAACAATAAATCTATTGTTTTTCTTGTTTTTAAAATGGTTCCACAAGATAAATCAATGATATTAAATGGAATTAATCATGTAACTAATTCTAATGTCTCTATACTGGTTGATTATTTCTAGTGCCTTTTCCAGATTATAATTGCAATCATCTAATTTGCTTCGTTTTCATGTGTATGTATATAAATACACATATATTATAGAAACTAGTTTTCTGTATTGCATTTAATATATAAAGAATTGAACAAACTAGAAAAAAGCAAGATCTGATGAAATACGTATATTATTTAACAATGGTAGGTCTCTATAAATTAGTAGTTCATTTCAAGTATAAAATAAAATGAAAAAATAACAAAGAGAGCAATAATCAAAGAACGTATCTGACGACAGAGTGACTAACAGAAAGGTTCAAGGTTGTAGAAAACAAGGAAAAACAAAATGTTTCCGGCACTCGAATAAAAAGACTAAGTCGAAACTCACATCAAAAACGATTAATAAGAATGACAAATATTTTTCGAAATTAAGTACAACGCGACAAAGAAATGATAAGAATATTCTATATCAACAGACCAAATCTTATGCATCGATCGGTAGCAAAACAAAGTGATTGCTATCCGCTACTTTCGGCAAAGATGTTTATGAATGCGCGAGTAATCTGGATAAAATAAAGAGCAATGGTGGCAGTAATTCGATATATACTTTATAAATTGATTTAACTGAAATTTCGGACTGAAATGCTCTCAACCTTTATTGATCAAGTTCGGTACAGTTCTAGGATTTATTAATTGTCATTTAGTAGTTTTCTATCGCTTACATTTATCTTTTGTTTTCACTCTTCTTTATGATTTTGTATAATGTTTATATGTATTTTTAATAGTATGTTCAGATGCTTGCAAGTAAATTAAAAAAAACTTATGCAGCCAAAAGTAACTTCAGATATAAAAAAAAATACTTTCTTCTCGTTGAGTGCGTGACTAGTATTAGTTAGCGCTCGCTATTCACTCAATTCTTTTGTTTATTCTCTCACATAAAACACAAAAAAAGAACCGTATTTTCATCGACATTCTGTACGACAGAGTTAATGCTTTTTTCTCACTTGTGTTCAAGAATGAGGTGTCTAGCAACACAAATACATAGTAGACATCATAATACAAACAGTCGAGAACACAGAAAGAAAATACCCTTACATACATAATGCGTCACCCATGTATCGGTTTTCCATCATGTTTAAAAACATTTGAAAATAGTTATGTTCTGCATGGTCATCAACTATCCTGTGAACATGCACAAAAGGAAATACATAATAGAAATAATTGTCAAGAACATGCTCGATCAATTCAATATGATTATGGTATAAATGGAATCAAAGGCAATAAAATTTATCCAACATTCACTGGCTTAGATCACACACCAAGACTATATTTTCGTGATCGATTTCAATTTGGACGAGCTAATATACAACAATATCGACCTCTTCGTAAACCAACTGATCCATCAGTAGTAACACCTCAAACAAAATCAACAGCGATGGATTTCAGTGGCTATTTTACATAAACATTATTCCTTTGATATTCTTCGCTCGTTTTTTCAAAACGAAACACTTTGACTAAATACCAAAAAGGATGTATTTTCATTAATCCGATAATTATTTTCTATCTAAAGATTATAATCATATGATACTGTCACATAACAATTTTTTGTTTATTATTTTATTTCACTAGTGTTCGGATGAAAGTATAGAGTATTTATATTGATTTAGATAAGTAATTGTACAATTAAAAATAATTTGGCATATTTCATTACGATGGGCAAATAGTCAAAAAAGATTAATCCAGTTTATATAAAAAAAAAAAATATTTATCTTTTGTAATTATAGATTTTATACAGAATGGAAGATTTTTCTTTTTAACTGAAGAATGGTTTAGATAATTGTACATATATTATTTTTAATTACCTCTTGAAGACGACGATACTTATTTACAAAAAGAAAAATCATTCAATGAATTACTATCTTTGGTTTGTCACACATATTTAATGTAATCAGCCAAAAGTTTTACTAGCGCAGTATGATGAAATTCTCTGGTTCTATCAAATAATGATGGAGCAAAATATATAATCATAAAAAATTACTTATTCTTAGTGATAATTTGATTGTAGTGTTTAGTTTGATAATTAATTTATCAAAAACTTATATAAGATTCAGTTCAATCAAATATTTTACTAATATCCAAATAATCATTATCTTATATGTTGTTCTTCTCAGTCTGATATTCATATTCCAAATCATGTACCTAAGAGTATTAGTACTGTTGAATTTGGTACTGGCATCTGTTTATTTGTAATCTAATAGAGTTTTGGTTTGGATTAAAAAACCAGCCATATCCTCATACACCTTTAAATACGACGATGCCCACTACCGATAAAAGAAGAAACTATGAGTTAAAACAAAGAGTCTCGATAGTTGAAAATTATTGATGTTTATCTTGTTATTATAAATTGTTTATATGTTGACGTAGCTCTTACTTTTGTCCTTGCTCCTGCTGTAATTATGCCTAAAATGTTTGGGTTTGCTGATTTATGTAAGTGAACTACTATTGCACAGTTTCAAGGAGCAATTGAGATTGTCGGATGTTATTTTCGGGTACATTCTAAAGAAATGACAAATCTCTTCTTAATTAGAAGCTACAAACAGCATATGACTGTTTTCATATGGTGAAAACATGCAATGTAGAACTACACCTATTTGAAAATCAACAATGCTTATCAGTAAAAAAGAATGCACATCAGAACCTATAGCGCTTTCAAAGTTTATAGAAAAATCTGCGATATTTCTGTAGGAACCTGAATTCTTTTCTAGCTGATCCATGGTCACATCAGCAATCAAAACAGCAGTTTGAACGGATTTCATGAATATTGAGTGAAAGGGAGTAAGGCCTTAGGAGCTATATTTAGAATTTCTGGGAGTAACATATTAAAATAACCTATGGATGTGAAGCACGTCTCAATCAGGCACAATTTATGAATGACGAAATCATTGAAGGCTTATCTAGCAAGTTTACCATCCTATACATTGATTAAAAAACTAAGTTAGAAATAATATTTTCATTATATTTTTATAGTTAAATAGTAAAGGTAAGAAAGGATGTTATAACACTATTGTGCTACTTACAAAAAATTCTTCCAACTAAAAGCATTAGTCCATAGGGAGATATATATCTATCAGTCAATCAGAGACACTTTGTCAGTTCTCACTTTTTTGTGAACTAGAAAGCCAGTCTCATTAATGCAACGTCTTTGGATTTGGACTCGTATTTTCACAGAGCCAGTTGAATCTAGATTCAAAATAGATATGAAAAGCTCAATTCTAGCTTTTATCATGTTAACTCTATTCATCAATTATAACAAAAAAATTTTCTTGTCTACTTTTCGATATAAATTAAATATCTTTTTGAATCAAATATTGTCTTGTACTCTGATTAATGTAACAGAAGATTCTTGAATCAGAGTTCAAGTCTGACTTGATAAGTTCCACAATTAAACATACTAAGCGTCATGCTCTACAGGTTAGTTGAAAAGTAGATGGAAATATTAAGAATCGATAAAAAATTGAATTTTTTTACTCATGACTGTAGATGAATTCAATAGTTATTAGTTTCATACATCATATATTAAAAGTGCAATCAGAATATATGAACAACATAGCAATTCATGTGTTAAGTATTCCTTCACTCTTAGCATTCGACCATTCAACAGAATAGCAGAATACAATACTTTACCTTGAGACATTATCAATTTTTTGCTAACATGGAAATCAATTTTCGATAAGATCTTTTTACTACTCATAATTAAATACTATTAATGTAACTGATGTTAGAACACATAAAGCGCAAAAATAATAAGACACAATGACTATATTGAATAAATGCTTAAAATAACATATAAGTATCGACAAAAAGAAAAACATGTGTATCATTAAGTTGAAGTGTAAAATATTATATATTTCTTCTTGACGTACAACTTTCGGCGACATCTTTGTTTGTTACTCAGCTGTTTTACTTAATTGCATCCAATCCAATGTATATGTGGCTACCTAAACATTATCCTTGATTTTTATATTATTAGAGCACATAATTCAGAGCAGAAAATGGCAAGTTCAACAATCAACAATACTAATAATACACCTAAAAGCAAAGTTCCTGGTTCTATCTCTCAAAATGATCGATTTCTTGAGTATGTTAATAAATATTTTGTTTTCTTCCATTTTTTTAGTCTTCTTCTCTCTAGATATGATTCAAAAACATCGAATTTGGTCGATGGAGCATCAACAGCGAATACTACCCATGACTTAGTTCATTCTCAACAATTAATTGCACGTATGAATAAACTTCGTAAAGCTGAACATCTTTGTGATGTAACACTCAAAGTTGAACAAACCCTTTTCCCTGCTCATCGTCTTGTCTTAGCAGCTGCTAGTGATTATTTTGCTGCTATGTTTACTGGAGAAGTAAATCGAAAATTTTTTATTATTACTATTATCTTTTTTTTGTAAAAATAACTTATTTTAGATGGTTGAACGTCACATGAATGTCATTGAATTAAAAGGTTTCAGTGCTTCTGTAATGGAAATTCTTTTAAATTCAATCTATGGTGAACCAGTTATAGTAACAAATGATAATGTTCAAGATATTCTTCCGGCTGCTTCTTTACTTCAATTAAATGGAACTGGTTTATATTTTATTCGTGCTCTATTTATTTATTAGCTTTATAAATTCTATTTTTCAGATATACAACGACAATGTGCTCTTTTTCTTGCTAGTCATCTTGAACCAGCAAATTGTTTGGGCATTTATTGTTTTGCTGATCTACACAATTGTTCACAATTAAAACAAACTGGTAATAATAAAAACACATGTTAGAAAACAAAAGAACAAAATGAATTTATAATGAAATTTTAGCTCTATCATTTATCTGGACGCATTTTGCAGCTGTAGTTCATAGTGAGGAATTTTTAACATTAAAAGCAAATGAAGTTGAAGATCTTATACAATCCGATGAAATTGAAGTTAGTTATTTAAGTATTTTTTTTCTTGTAGTCAACAGAAACTTCTTAATATTTGTTGTAATAAAGGTACCCAATGAAGAAATAATCTATAATTGTGTTATGGCTTGGATAAAACATGATCAAACATTTCGTCAACAATATTTACTCACACTTCTTCAACATGTTCGATTACCATTTCTTAGTGCTCGTTTTATTACTGACATTTGTGATAACGAAGTATGCACAGTGAAATAAATTTTGTATTATATATCGAAAGAAAAAAAAAATCTTTTCTTTATGTAGCTATTGATAAGATCATCACATAAATGTCGTGATTTACTTGATGAAGCGAAACGATATCATTTAAGACCAGATTGTCGAAAATTATTGACAGGAACACGATTTACTAGTCGACGTGGTTTGTAGAATGATGATAT